CTCATCCCACCCAAGTCAGTCACCTTCCCTGACCCCACTCACCTCCCCACAATCACGCCTCGCAGACTCCATCTTCATAGCTCGGGGCAAGATCTTAGTGTTGGAATGATATAATAAGCAGAATGTACTGATGTTTGTATGGTGACTCCTTTGTGGCGGATTGTCTCCCCTTGTATGTGTTCATTTCTAATGTATTCCTTGTATTGGGGTTTTTTCTATGAAAACTTCTTTCAATAAAAACTTATTATACAAAAAAAATAAATACTAATAGATAGGCATGCACCGATACTGGTTTTTCAGTATCGAGTACCGATATTCTTTTTTTTTTTTTTTACCGAATACCGATACCGGAAGTGCCATTAAGGAAGCCAGGCGGCGTGTCATGATTCGCCACCTGGCTTTCCAATTAGCAGGTAAGCTGTCTCCATGCTCCCTCATCACCTGGCGACGAGAAAGCATGGAGCCGGCTTTCTGGTCAATCAGGAAGCCGGGCACCGTGTAATGACGTGTTGCCTGGCTTCCTGATTGGCCGGGAAGCCGGCTCCATGCTTTCTCATCACCAGGTAACAAGGGAGCATGAGGCTGGCTTTCTGGTCAATCACAAAGCCGGGGGGCATGTAATGACGCCGCCCGCCGCCTAAATGGCCAAGTTACGAGGGAGCATGGAGCCAGCTTCCCGGCCAATTGGGAAGAGCAAGTATCGGGCCAGGCATCGGAACATTTGGGCGAGTACGAGTGCATCCCTACTAATACATACTATAGGAAGAAAGTTCCAGATTCACTCAGTTGAGTCTCCTTTTCCTCACTCTCCATTTTCAAACAACTTTCATGCTGTCCACCATGTCTTGGTGGACAGCATGAAAGTCCACCTGTACCGAGTGAAAGTCCACCTGTACCGCATGAAAGTCAACCAAGTCCACCTGTACCGCATGAAAGTCCACCTGTACAGCAAGAAAGGCCACCAAGTCCACCTGTACAGCATGAAAGTCAACCAAGTCCACCTGTACCGCATGAAAGTCAACCAAGTCCACCTGTACCGCATGAAAGTCAACCAAGTCCACCTGTACCGCATGAAAGTCAACCAAGTCTACCTGTACCGCATGAAAGGCCACCAAGGCCACCTGTACCGCATGAAAGGCCACCTGTACCGCATGAAAGGCCACCAAGTCCACCTGTACCGCATGAAAGGCCACCAAGGCCACCTGCACCGCATGAAAGGCCACCAAGTCAACCTGCACCGCATGAAAGGCCACCAAGTCCACCTGTACCGCATGAAAGGCCACCAAGTCCACCTGCACCGCATGAAAGGCCACCAAGTCCACCTATACCGCATGAAAGGCCACCAAGTCCACCTGCACCACATGAAAGGCCACCAAGTCCACCTGTACCGCATGAAAGGCCACCAAGTCCACCTGCACTGCATGAAAGTCTACCTGCACTGCATGAAAGGCCACCAAGTCTACCTGCACTGCATGAAAGGCCACCAAGTCCACCTGTACAGCATGAAAGGCCACCAAGTCCACCTGTACCGCATGAAAGTCCACCTGTACCGTATGAAAGTTCACCAAGTCCACCTGTACAGCATTAAAGTCCACCTGCACTGCATGAAAGGCCACCAAGTCCACCTGTACAGCATGAAAGGCCACCAAGTCCACCTGTACAGCATTAAAGTCCACCTGTACCGCATGAAAGGCAACCAAGTCCACCTGTACTGCATGAAAGGCTACCAAGTTCACCTGTACAGCATGAAAGGCCACCTGTACCACATTAACGTCCACATGTACCACATGAACCACATCCAAGTCCACCTGTACTGCATGAAAGGCTACCAAGTTCACCTGTTCAGCATGAAAGGCCACCAAGTCCACCTGTACAGCATGAAAGGCCACCAAGTCCACCTGTACCGCATGAAAGGCCACCAAGTCCACCTGTAC